GGGTAGAAATATGGAGGAAACAGGAATATCAGAATACTGATAAATGTTGAAGCTGGGTAATAGGGACATGGGGGGCTATCACACTTTTCTGTTTAATTTGTATGTGTTCAAGATTTTCCACAATAAAATGGTTTTAAAACTCCAGATTAATTCTAGATTATAGGGCCAGCCCCGTGGCTTGGTGGTTAAGTGCTTGCGCTACGATGCTGGTGGCCTGGGTTCAGATCCCGGGCGTGCACCCAGGCACCACTTCTCCGTCCATCCTGAGGCCGAGTCCCACATACAGCAACTAGAAGGATGTGCAGCTATGACACGCAACTATCTACTGGGGCTTTGGGGGGAAAAAATAAATAAATAAAATCTTTAAAAAAAAAAAAATTCTAGATTATATGTACAAGGAATTAAGGAATGAGGAGAAGAAAGATATTTTTGAATCAAGTCCTCAAGGGGCACACTGAGGGAAGGTGCAATCACACTGGATAGAGGGTAAACGTCCTGGTTCCACCAGGAAGGTTCGGAGCTCAGTGAGCAAGGCAGGCGACAGCACAGTCAGGGAAGTGACAGAAAAATGTTCACCCTCACTGGTCACAGAGATGCCAACGATGGGCCCTGACAGGACTGCCCTACGATTTACAACGTCGTGACACCCACAAGTAGAGCGGGCTCAGGGACAGAGCACCACGTCCTGTGAGAATGCCAATCAGCACCGGCTTTCTGGAGGGCAAACCTCCCGAAGCCTGGAACCTGTAGGCCACTGGCCTGGCTGCTCTGTTGTACGGAATCTGTCCAAAAACAAAGGGATTAGGTACAGATGATGGACTGAATAAACATGTGAGGAGCCCTCTTGACATAAAATTCCTAAAAAGTGACCCATAGATTCCTTTGTTGATGAACAAATTCATAACAGCCCTGGGAACCATCAAGAGAGCCGACATTTTGAGGAAGACATCAAAGAGAGACAGCAGCTGGTGACTGGGGATCCCAGTGGGGGCCTCCGGGTGGGCCGTGGAGACCAAGCCAGGGCGCCCTCTCTCCCTCCCCCTCCTCCCCCTGCCGCTCACCCAACACCTCCTGCATCGCCCCTCCACTCCCAGCCACTGCCCACCTCATGCTTCAGGAACACAGGAGCAGAGGCACAGGGCGCCCTTTCCACCAGCACATCTGTCCTCATGCTCTCTGCAACTCCCCAGGCGGCGGAGCTCAGCCCTGCACCTCCTCAGGGCCCAGCACGCTCCTCCCGGGCCCTCAGGCTCCTCCTCTCCATCCAGTCCTACCTGCAGCACAGACACCTGCTAGCTCATCTCCGCCTTACAAACAAAACTCTCCCTTGGACCCATGCTCCCTTTTGGCTACTGTCCACTTTCCCGACTCCCCTTCATGGCTAAACCTCTTAAGTAAAGTGCCTCATCCCTACTGCCCTCCCATGGCCCCCCTTCACCCACTCTAGACCCAGCTTCATTCCCACCCTCTCAAGGAGACTGAGGTCACCCGTGATCCCATGTGGCCGAGTCCAGCCATCTTTTCTCCATTCTGATCAGAGCTGTATCCCACCCAGCTGAGCACCCCTCCTTTCTGCAATACCCTTTTCCCCTCGTGGCTCCTGCGACTCCATGCTCCACCGTTTCAGTCCCCTTTCCTGGACCCTCTTCAGCTGCACCTCTGCAAACACTGCCTGCTCCTAGGCTGCACCCCAGTCCCTTCCACAGCTGCAGTGTCCCCAGGAAACCTCATTCAGTTCCATGTTTTAAACATCTCTGACCTCATCCTGACTCTGCCCACTCACAGACGCAGCTTTAAGAGGTTGGGTGCCTGCTCCCCGGCATCAGTACCTAAGGAGTATCTCAAACTCGAGACCTCTCAAAATTTTACTGCAGTGTGAGTTCCAAAAAAGCATTAAATATTTCCAAAAAGGAGGGAAAATTTGGATACAATAAATAGTAGTGAACAAAATAACCAATAAAATGTTTACTTACATCCAATCATGGTTGTTTGATGGGGAAAATAAGAATATAGAACTAACATCAGACAGTCTCAAGCTGGGGAGTAGAAGGTGAGGAGCTGGGAGTGTACAACACAGGAACTGATCAACTGTAAGCATTTACAGAAAGAAAGGCAGAAATGGTTGCTCCTAAAAGCTGAAAGACACCCAGTAGAAGAATAGAAAAATAACAAGAAAGCCTAAAAAATAAAAAATTAAATAAAACAGCAGGCCCAAATTCCAACTTATCACTAATCACAACTATAAATGGATTAAATTACTCTATAAAAAGATGAAGGCTCAGATTAAGTTAAAATATAGCTATAAAATAAAGGGATATAGGGGGCTGGCCCGGTGGCATAGTGGTTAAGTTCACGTGCTCTGCTTTGGCGGTTTGGGGTTTGCAGGTTCGGATCCCGAGCGCGGACCTACGCACCGCTTATCGCCATGCTGTGGCAGGCATCACACATAAAATTGAGGAAGATGGGCACAGATGTTAGCTCAGGGCTAATCTTCCTCACACACACAAAAATAAATAAATAAATAAAAATAAAGGGATATTAAAAGGTTGAAAAGGAGATAAAGAAATAAAACTTTAAATGGGACAAAAGAGTTTTGTGTGTTGATAACTGTCAGGAACACTTATGCATCTAACAACATGGTCTTAAAACATAAAGCAAAACTGGGCAAACAAGAAGACACAAGCACCTCCAGAATCACAGGGAAACCTACCTTACCTCTCTTAGAAATCCACAGGTCAAGTAATACAGTAAGTTAGGAGACAGATCTGCTGACAAACACAAATGAGCTAGATCTAGCCTCAGCCTGAGAGACAACAACATAAGAAACTAGTGGAGAGGATGCATTCTCCTCAAACCACAATGAAACAGTCACCACAATGGACTGTGTGCTAAGCCACAATGACATCTCAAATGATTCCAAAAAGCAGGTATCTGTAAGTGTCCTCAAAGCAATAAAATTTAAAAATAATTACAAACAAATTGGCTCCCCTCCCCCAACCTATCCACTTGAAAAACTGTCCACACTCTTCTAAATACCTCGCGTTAAAGAGGGGATCCAGGGGCCGGCCCGGTGGCGCAAGCGGTTAAGTGCGCACGCTCCGCTGCGGCGGCCCGGGGTTCGCTGGTTCGGATCCCGGGCGCACACCGACGCACTGCTGGCAAGCCATGCTGTGGCGGTGTCCCATATAAAGTGGAGGAAGATGGGCACGGATGTCAGCCCAGGGCCGTCTTCCTCAGCAAAAAAAGAGGAGGATTGGCGGATGTTAGCACAGGGCTGATCTCCTCACAAAAAAAAAAAAAAAAAAAAAGGGGGATCCAGACTGAAAGGACCAAATCTTTAGGAATGAACAACAAGAGCAGCACGAGGTGAATCCATGGCATGGGGACAAAGGGACAGAAGAAGGGACACAGCCTCCACTGCAGGTATCAGGGAATGTCTACTGTACACGAAGAAGCTGAGCACTTCCCTCCAGGAGCCAGAACACCACCACAATAAAGCCAACGACAGAAGAACGAAGCGAGGATTCACGAGGCAGGAACAACAACGTAGACCTGAGCAATGGAGTCAAGGGCTGGCTGTCTGGAAAGACCTGTAACAGTGAGAAACCTTCACAGTCTGACCAAGAGGAACAGACAAAGGCACCAAACTGTACCATCAGGTACGACAAACTACAGAAACAGCTTTAACGTGATAGGAGACCATAGCAGATAACTCTGACCAGGACATCCGTGGGCCTCAGCTGGAGCTGTCCTTCCCCCAGGATGCATCTGGAAACACGTGGGTTTTGTTTCCTGTTCTGGGTTCTCCTAATGGTTGTTGCCCGGGAGGTCCAGGAGGTCCTGAACAGCCTGTCACATAGAGCCGTTTCCTACCTAAAGTGTTACTTACATCTCAGAAGGCAAACGTTGATTTAGATTAAATGAACAATGTGGTAGGGAAATGTTTTTTACGTACATATATATAAGAGGCAAAGATACTATCCTCAATATGTAAAGAAGATCTAGAAACCAATTTTTGCAAGCACTAAACAGTAAAATATGAAGAAAAGCAGAAACATAGCCATAAAAAAATATGTAAGAGCACAGAAAATGATCTAAGAGATAACACGCCAAATTTTACTAGCAACAAAGAGGTGGGTAAGAAATGGGAATTGTCACTTCTTAGCTTATATATTTCTGTACTGTTTTAATTTTTACAAAAGACAACGTATTCTACTTGAACAGATGTTTAAAACTTTAGGGGTCAGCCTCGTGGCGCAGTGGTTAAGTTCACACGTTCTGCTTTGGTGGTCCGGGGCTCACTGGTTTGGATGCTGGGCATGGACGTACTCACGGCTCATCAAGCCATGATGAGGCAGCGTCCCACATAGAAGAACTAGAAGGACCTACAACCAGGATAAACAACTATGTACTGGGGCTTTGGGGAGAAAAAAAAAGAAGATTGGCAACAGATGTTAGCTTAGGGCCAATCTTCCTCAAAAAAAAAAAAAAAGTTTAAACAAATTACTATTAATGTTCAAAATAATTTAACTTCAAGGATATCTATTAACACATGAATGGAAAGAACCTCCCCATGACTTTTAAGAGTCTCCTATAATTTTTCTAATAGTTTACTATGTCTATTTTATTTTACATTCAGGTCCTAACTCATTTGGAATTTACGTTTGTGTGATATATGCAATAGAAGCTGACTTTCCCCTGTTCAAGTGGAAAACTGTCCAGGCAGTGTTCATTCAGTAGTTCTGGCTTTCCCAGCAGATGTGCAACGCCTCCTTTCCCACTGGCTAAACCCCCACAGCTACAGACACCTCCCGAGCGCCGTGGAGCAAGTGGGGTAAGCTCTCCAACCTGGGCTCCCTGTCTACAAGGTATGGCTACTATGAGACCCTTCTTCTAAGACAGCAGGGGGCACGTGTCACATGGAAGCGCTCAAGGGCCACGTAGCAAGAAACCCCTCACGATGAGCAGGCAGTGTGGGAGCCACAAGCTCAGGTACTGACCTCGGCCGGGGGGCAGCAGGCTGCTCAGGGAGGGGAAGCTCACTGTCTTCAGCTCGTCCAGCTTCTCCTGCAGCTTGCGCACCTGGCTGTCAGAGCGGCTGACCCTCTGCCGCAGGGTCTTCAGCTCGCCGTTCTTCTTCTCTACCTGCTCCCGCAGGCAGCACACCTGGCTCTTGTTCTGCCGGGAGGAGAAGCAGTAGGAGTGCAGCGAGTCGATGAGTCTGCAGGCCCCAGATGCAGACAGGATGACCTCATTGATGGACATGGGGCTGGCGTCGCTGTGCTCGCTCTGCACAGCTTCTGTGGCTGGCTTCGGGGTGACGTCTGTTGGAGGGGCAGAGGGGCTCTGGGAGGGCTTCTGAGGTGTCACTGTGAGTGATGAACTTGGGGGGCTCTGGGCCAAGCCCTTGTCCAGCCCCAAGCTGGTCCCGCTGCAGCTGGGCTCCACGTCTCTCTTCAGCCTCTTTCGGTCAACAGGCTCTCGGGGGACAGATGGCCTCTCTCGAGTGTGCTTGGAGGAGAAACTGTAAGAATGAAGTGAGCCAATAAATTTGCATGCCCCAGATCCTAGGGGGGTAAAGTCATCCACAGAAATGCCACTCTTATCTACCAGGCCCCCGTCAGGGGAGGCGGTGGTCTCATCGCCAGCATCTACAGCAGATGTGTTTGCATCTCCCTGGCTGCCTGACGCTGTGGTGACCACACCGTCTCCTGGAGTTCCTTCCAGAGACTGCTGCACCCGCTCCTGACTGGCGGCTTCCTGGGCAGCCCTGGGTGCGGGTTCACCCTGCAGAGCAGCTCGCTTCAACTTGTAGCACTCTGGCTTGTCCATCAGGTTTTCACTTGAGGACGACGATGAAGCTGCACCTCCCTTCTCTTCTGCTTCACTGGAATGTCCCCTCAGGCCCCCTGAGGCCTTTCTAGTGTCCTTTCTCCTGGTGCGGCCATGGCCTCCAGCCCCCCTCTTCTCAGTCAGGTGGAAAATGGAGGGCACAGCCGTGGGCTTGAGCTGGCGGTGTTGATCCTCCAGCCTTTTGGAGAAGCTGTCTTTGGTGAAATGTTCGCTACAGAGGAAAGAATACTTAGTGGGGGTCCAGTTATCCCTCTGAACAGCTTTTAACCACTGGATGAGACGTTCTGAGGTCTTTGGGGGGAACCTGCAGGACAAATGACAAAGTAATTAGAAATAATTAAGCGTCTCCCCCATAACGATCAACTATAAAAGCAAAACGTGTTTTTGCAAACACCCACACCTGTATTGACTTCACCCATTTAAACATTTAGTAAAGATTTAAGGAACATCTTCTACTTGTAATTTATTACTCGAAGAGAAAAATGAAAGACCCACTGTTTACCCTTAAGAAGCTTACAGTCTGTAGGGCAGAGAAAGAAGGAAGGTGAGGACCTCCTCCCAGGCTGTGGTAAGTGCCCTGTAGGGACACAGACGCTTGGGCAGATAGCACAGGATGGCATCAAGACAACAGGAAAGGCTTCAGGAAGCCCTGAAAATAGTTCCTAGAAGCTCACAGGTGACCAACCCTCCTGATGTGCCTGGGATGCAGGACTCTGGGTACCAAAATGGGGAGGGTTGGTCCTCCTATTTCAAAGCCAGGCCAGGTGTCGGCCAGCAGAGCATCCAGGCACTCAGCATGGAGCCCTGCCCCAGCTGTGGCTCACAGAGCTGAGAATGCAAGACCGGCTCTAAGAAGAGGTCAGGGGGCCAGCCTGGTGGCGCAAGCGGTTAAGTGCGCGCGCTCCACAACGGCGGCCCGGGGTTCCCCGGTTCGGATCCCGGGTGCGCACCGATGCACTGCTTGGCAAGCCATGCTACGGCGGCGTCCCATATAAAGTGGAAGATGGGCACGGATGTTAGCCCAGGGCCAGTCTTCCTCAACAAAAAAAAAAAAAAAAAGAGGAGGATTGGCAGATGTTACCACAGGGCTGATCACCTCACAAAAAAAAAGAGAAGAGGTCAGACTCAAAAGCTGTAGTTGTGTGTTCCCACTGTACTTCCACTACCAGGAGGAAAGCTGCTCCCTTTAAAAAGCAACCAGCCTCTGGAAGATACTGAATAAGACACTTAATAAGCATTTATTCTCATTAAGGCAAGATCTCTATTTAGAAAACTCTGACCGGGGCCGGCCTGGTGGTACAGCGGTTAAGTGCGTGCGCTCCGCTTTGGAGGCCCAGGGTTTGCAGGCCAAGATCCCCAGCGTGCACCGATGCACCGCTTGTCAGGCCATGGTGTGGCGGCGGCCCATATAAAGTGGAGGAAGGTGGACACGGATGTTAGCCCAGGGCCAGTCTTCCTCAGCAAAAAGAGGAGGATTGGCGACAGATGTTACTCAGGGCTAATCTTCCTTACAAAAAAAAAAAAGAAAACTCTGACCAAACTGTGCATATGGTGGCGGGGGGGGGGGGTGTCACTCTAGAGGGCTCTCTGCTTCACCTAAAGTCGTGTAACCCAACTGAGGCCACTGTGGACCAGCACCAGGGCAGATATTAACTCCTCAGAAGTTCTAAGCAACATGACTTTCTAAACTTTCAATGCTTTGTGAACACCTTACCCAAAGACCCCACGCCCCCATTCCAATGTCCTCTGCTCCCACATCAGACCGTTATGACTGCCAAGAGCAGCCCTCTCTGCAGTGCTTTGTCTCATTTTCGAAAACAGTAACAAAACTTTTGGGACACAGGCTCTGAAAGAAACTGTCAAGAAAGCATGGTGCTTGATCTCTGGAATAATCTAATATTACCAGTCCTTTTGCTAGATTGTAACAACTTAGGACTTAGAACAAACCATTGTAACTTCCAACAAGACTATAAATAACAAGTGTCAGTCAGGTTTTTAAAACTTAAATAACACTCTGCAACATAAAACGGAAGTATCTGCAAAGAGGTTTTTAAAGTAGTTTCTTCAGTTTCACTGTTCTGGGACCTCCAGTGTGGAAGTCCGCAGAAAAGGACTCACTGAAACAGCTGAATTCCAGGAGCCCTCACGAAAGGAGTCAGGCCAGGCCAGGAAGAGGGCAGGAAGTGTGAAGGAAGCCCCTTCCACCACCGCGCAGGGTCAGCCTCTCCCGACGAGTGGGCCGTGCCCTGCTCCCCGGAGGATGCTGTCAGATGCGTCTCCAGCGTGCACCTCCACGCGCAGAGCCACCTCTCCCTGGGACTTCGAGGACCCTTCTATTAACAGCATCCGGGAGCGCGTGTTAATGATACAAGTTGTATTTGCTGGGCCACATTCCTGATCGCAGAGATCAAGGCAGGCTTCCCCGATCAAAAGAGGAGAAAAGTCACAGCAAATGCAAGAGAACAACTGACCTAAGGAAGAGCTTTTCCAAAACACAGTTTCTGGAAATTGGCGGCGCCAACCCGAATCAATGGGGAGCAGGGTGGCCGCAGAGTTGGGGGTGAGAGGGTGGTGGAGGCCGTAAGGTAGCCTCCAAGTGGGGGGACGGGTGGCCTTAGGGTGGGCGCGGGTGGCCGGAGGGTGGGCGTGGGG